GGCTAACTCACAAATCAAACCCGGAAACAACCTCTGGGCTGATCTAAGTCAGGACATGGCTAACTCACACATTGAGCCCTGAAACAATCTCTGGGCTGATCTAAGTTAGGGCATGGCTAACTCAAAGAACGAATAAGAATTCAAAATGTTATACGTTTTTGCGGAGGGAGGAAAACCTAAGAACCTGGATGAAAACTCCCAAATCAAGAGAGAGAGAGAGATGGCCTAAGAATATCTCTGCTCTGGTTTGATGCCGAGACCAGGAATCGAACTCGATACCCAAGAGGTGTGAGCTCACTGAGAGCACTGATCTCTACGCCAGCCCTGGTAACGCAATCTCACCACAGGATACCCAGCTACTATAAACCAAACACAACCAAAGCAACTTGCTCGTAATTATCTTACTTTGTCTTACCTCGCTGCACTCGTCGATGTCTTTACAACGAGAACTTGAAGCTGATAGCTTTTTATATCCTCTTGCGCACTCACATCTACAAGAAAAAGCAACAAAATAAAATAATCTTTGGATGACGAGTTGCTAGAGACAGGTAGAGTGCAAACTATATATACGTGTTATTTCTAGGAAATTAAACCGGCTGAACGCTGAACGCAGGCAATGAAATAACACAAAACCTAAATAGTACTAAACACATGTATTTTGTCCGTTTTCAATTGTTTCATTTGTACTAATTAAATAGTACACTATTTCGCAGATAGTCTACATGGTTTGCACTCAACTGGGTAAAATCTTTAGCAACTCCTAACACGGTGAAAAGTTTAGCCTTAACTTCGAAAGTCGTACCCAACGGCAAAAGAAGTTTCAGCTGCGAGTTTTTTAGTCTTACTGTGTTACAAACTTGCCTTGTCTGAAAATTTCTTGGAGATAAAGCTCCAGGTAAAAGGTAATATGTGCAATTACAAACGTCTGTCGCGAGGCACGTTTCTGATAAACGTTTTGCTTTGATAGTTTTCTTAATTTCGATCTGCACGTGAGCAGTCGAGCACGCGGAATGTGACGTAATCTTACCACATGCACAGATAGTTGTAGTCGTTTTACAGGCTTTGATATCTTACAGTTGTGAAAAGACCTTAATTTTAGCCGTTATTTTTCACTATTCCACAGATTTCAGACCTTTTAAAATATATCCAAAGTATTATTTCTTTGTTTACCGATATCGCCTGAGAATATATGTATTAAAATATGGATATTAATCTTAAAATCTCCAATGGTTTTATTTGTAAACGCGTATGCGAATTTCCCGTCGAACTTCAGAGCATGCGCAGTGCGTTTTCATCCCAGTCCCTCTCGTACAGATTCTAATGTTGGAATTTCTCATACCTATGAGATCCATATGTATTAACACAACGAGATTGGCATCCTCCATTTCCGACCAAGCATTCGTTGACATCTGTAAAAATACAACACCAACTTTTAGGCTCTTTAATTTATTTTGCAGTGAGCATTATATAACATCCAGTTCTGCATTTGTACCGTTTTGCCACTGATTTTGCGCACTTGATAAATGGCAACAAAAAACCATTGATATCATCATTGAACGATAATAATATAAAGGTTTTGCACCATCACGTGACGGTAGCCATGTTAGATGGCAGGAACAATACAATCGTTTTACATAAAGAAGATTCAATTCCCGAGAGCAAAGGGATTTTATTGTTCTGCCACCTAACCACAGGCAGCCCAAGCCGAGCACGTGATGGTGCAAAACCACCATACACTGTAAGTCCCAATGACCTCTCATTTCGCGCTGCACATTTAGTAAAGAAAAATGAAATCCTAATGTCTACGGTAACAGCAAGTTACAACAATTACACGATTTCTCGTTAATATTGTGCAATCGAAAAATAAGAAGAAGAAAAAAAAATACATTGCTTTAGTTAAAAAATATCGAAAAAGATCGGCTTACGACAGCACTCTGTTAGGCTCAAGCCTGTTTTATTTTGGTTGCGCATATAAAGAATTTTTGTGCAAAGCAATGCAATTGCAGAGACAGAGACTAAAATGCAAACATTTAAAAAAAAATTGCGTGGATTTTCGGTCTAAAATTACAAAACTTACCTAAACAACTTGATAGGTCAGCGGCTAATCTGAATCCCCTGTGACATGCGCATACAACACGATTATCTTGATGACTACATATGGATTGACAGCCACCATTTTGAACCGCGCATGGAAGTGGCTGCTCTTGATCGACAAAGACTCCTAAAATAGCAAAAAAAGAAAAACAAACGAGTATATCTTTCATTTTCCATTTCCATAGAGGTCAAACGTAATGCATTCAGTCGAGTTTGCAGGGTCTAATTTGGATAATCCTTAGAAATTCCCTTTTAGCCTAGGTTTGAATGCTTTGTATTTGACAAATAAACCGATGATACRAAGTGGTGAATACGGGTAATAAGACTGAAAGTGTGAAAAACAGCGATCCTAAGTTAGATTTCGTAAAGATATCTCCATATGGGTAGAAGTTCTGCATGCAGTTGTATATCAAGATGAAATGCATTGTGGATCATATGTTAATAATGTCGAAAAACAAAGTGCCTGAAAAATTGCATGCAAAATTTGGTAAAATTCCACATTGTTGTGACCTTTCGTTGATTGCATATCACGACGTCCATGTTGTATTTCGGGCTTGGTATGCAACATGCAACCAAACCTCTACCAACCTTTCTTTGGAATGTTGTATATAAAGGGTCTTTTATCATTACGTGCTCAAATCCATGGTACAGCTTGGACTGCCTGTGGTTAGATGGCAGAACAATAAAATCCCTTTGCTCTCGGGAATTGAATCTTCTTTATGTAAAACGATTGTATTGTCCCTGCCATCTAACATGGCTGCCGTCACGTGATGGTGCAAACCCTTTATTTAAAAGCATAATTCTACCTTAAAAAGGTCAAATACTTACGTCGCTGACATCCTGCTTGACCAGCTGCACGAGTCCAGCCTTCACAACAATCAAAGACTGTTCTTTGAACCATTCTGTCGACCTCACGATACGATGTATAATAAAAGGTCCTACAAATAAAACAAATAAAGGCTTTGAACCATCACGTGATGGCAGCCGTGACAGAATTCAGTTCCCAGAGGAGAAAGACTATTGTTGTGCTTCCGGTTATGGCTGCAATAGCTGTTATCGTAGTTGAGCTTGCCACCCCAACGAACCAGCGGTATTGTGATGAACGTAGCATATGGTGCAAAGCCTCTATTGCTAGATTGGGACAAGTCTTGAGGGAGAATAATATCGAGTACGAACTCTAAACACGGTTAATACGTGATCAAGAACTTAACTAAACTTGTCAAGTGAATTTATAAAGTGGCGCTTGACCTTAAAGTGCATATAACCCCTGATTTTGTATTCTCAGTGTCGATGATTTGCATATGAAATAAATAGTTCAAAGGTAGTATATTTTTTGATTTGAGGATTTGAATGTTGCTCGTGAGCCACTGATTATGCTAACAGACCTAATAGAAACCACGCGCTTTCTTTTGTTTAAGTTTCTAAATATTTTTATAGACAATTTGCATCATCGYGTGCAGGCGCCCATAATACAATTTGGGCTGCCTGTGGTTAGATGGCAGAAGGAAAAAATCCCTTTGGCTCTCAGGTATTAAATTCTTTCTCTTCTAAAACGATTGTATTGTTCCTGCAACCCAACATGGCTGCCGTCACGTGATGCTGCAAAACCTCTTTAAATGTTTACGAACGCAATCACCGGTGTAGCGGACAAGAAGAACTGCCCCCCTCTCCCCCTCCCCCTCCCGCTCGTCGACATCCCTGTTTTTATCTTTTTCTTAATCTCCCCGCACTCAGTCGAAAGAATATTACAATATTTAGCTAAGCAACGCGATTAATCGCAAATCATATTTATGTGATGCACAACAGATAAGCTACCATGATTCTAGCGTATTCGACTGTCTTGAACCAATCAGGAAGTGTCAAAATCCGCACTGTCCAATCACAACGCTTGAATGCAGTAGCTATTTGGATGTTGCGCGTCTTAAATCAACTGCTTCATATAGTAGCACGTAAACAGAAAGATAAATTACTTCCTTGCGGTCAAACGTAATCACTCTAAGTAGGTTATAACAAGCGATAACCCTCTGCGTGAGTCCGTTGAACTCGACAAGTCGAGTGCTGTTATAATCTCCTTTGAGCATAATTAGGTGTCATTCATTTGTAAAGAGTTTTTATGACTGAGGTTTGACATACCTTGTAACGTATCTCATACAGACTTTGTTGCACCCATTTATAAGTACTGGGACAGTTCTGGGATAGGAGCGCAGCTCACTAATTCTGTCGCGGACGACTTGGGGACGAACGAAGGAACACACGTTTGGGCTGTGGAAATAAAAGATGGAAATCTATGTAAGAATTTCGCACTATCGCGCGATGGTGAATATCTGAGAGAGATTTTTAACGTCATTGTTCCTTCAGCTTGTAGTTGTTCTTACAGGGAGTTGACGATGCGCGCTTTACCCCCCCTCTCTCCATCAGTGCTCTGTTTTAACAGTATTCAAAGCTGAAGCAACATGGATTAGAGAGAAGTCGAAATAAGTGTGCGAGGTCTAGATCACTGGGAATTGAACTACAGACCTCTCACTTAGGAGTGAGCCACACTAGCTTGGGAGGAAGCCACACTAGCTTAGGAGGAAGCCACACTAGCTTAGGAGGAAGCTAAACTAGCTTAGGAGGAAGCAACACTAGCTTTGGAGGAAGTCACATTAGATTAAGAAGAAGCCAACACTAGCTTAGGAGGAAGCCAAAATAGCATAAGAGGAAGCCACACTAGCATAAGAGAAAGCCACACTATCTTGCTCATATAGAAACACTGCTCGATGAAGAAAAACACTTCTTCATCGCGCATCCATGGGGGGCAAAGTCCTGGTAAGGGGTCTAGGTCGTTCCCGCTCTCCATGATAATGTCATTGATATTCAGACAACAATACTGATCGGCTTGTAAGCACTTCCGTATTGGACATCATTGTTAATTGGATCGTAAATATTCAGTTAATCTATTCGCCGGAATGCCACTTAACATTAGCAAGTTGCACGGTATTCGTAAACAAGGCAGCTCGACATTCAATGTGACTCCAGTGCAGATAATTTGAATAATCACTTCGGATATGTTTTGTCTCAAGCGCGCAAAAAGATTGATTGTATTATTTTTCTATATATATATATATATATATATACACTCGATTGCAGAAACGTTGTAGTATACATTTATACGTATATTTAATTTATTCAATATATTTAATGATATGCAAAACAGAAAAATCGCTTTATTTATCGTTTGTTTCATTCAATGATTGTCAATTTTTTTTTCTGTTTATTTTTTTCTTGTCTATTAGATCGTACAGATTATAAATTAGTTGGTTTTAAGCGTTGAAAATGGTTATTTTGTATTATGCAGCTCATTAGATATTTGTATAAATGTGTAAATGTATACTACAACGTTTCTGCAATCGAGTGTATGTATATATATGAAAAAAAATTAGGTGTCATATCACTGCTTTACAAATCTGTAATAATGCCCTAATTTTATAACAGGTTGTGATCTAATGTTATAATCTATAATCCTGTTAGATTTCTTCATTCTAAGTCATTTCACAGATTTAAGTTTTTTATGTTTTTGACAGTTTTAAAGTCTACCAACATTTTTACGTCGTTGGAACTTCCGAACGAAGCGAACGTCTTGTACATAYGTGCTACACTGAATCGAATCGAGCCGAATTCGAAATCTGCGCCATTCTTTATATTCGAATCTTTGCTGATATCAGTTCTTTCTTCCAATGTATCGCTTCGATCGAGTTATCATATTTTCAATATCTTGAAGTCTGCCAAAGTCGTTCGACATTGGTGCCCTGTACCAACAGTTTTGGCAGAGCCACCCGGAATAGAACCGACATTTTCGCGCTTAAGGCACGCGGTACATCTATGATGACAGTAGTCTACAGAGCTCCTAAATTACAATACCACGTACATGAAAGGCTAAGCTTTTAACCTCATCTTTCTTTTTCACTCCCCGATATTTACTTGCGTCTTTTAAATTTGATTTAGCGCAATCTCTAATTAGGTGCTGAACTACGAGTCATCCGTGCGTTTCCTTTCACGGTGAAATAATTCCTCAAAAAACAACACATCTATGTACACAAAAACAAACAACACAAGCACCGCAAGCTTAAAATGTCATTCGACAAAGGCCATCTACATTTATGGATCGGATGCTTCCGATTTCTTAATACAGACCTAAAGAATTTTAATTAACTCCTACATCTAAATAAGTCCTAAATCTTGATCGCCCGTCACCAGAGGTGAGGATAATGTATGATCTTCTATATCTATAAATTACTGATAAAGCGCGACAGACTTTGAAGTAAAGGTAATTCTATACAAAAGTATAACGATTCTATGCTTAAAAAAAAAAAAAAAAAAAAAAAAAAAAAAAAGAATAATCTGGTTTATGGAAAGAAATATGACTCAGCTTCTGTATTTTGTAAAATGATCTTAGTTTATCTGCCTATGTGGTAATTAATTAATCTTGAATTGAATCATCGATTCGAACCTCGAAAGAATTAATCAAGAGCTTTATACTATGATCGCTTCAAATAAGCCCTGATAAGTTACTCAAGAGAGTTAGGTCGAGCAAATGTTCTCAACTATCGAGGCACGTTTAAAATAAGGATATTCTCAGAGGAAATATTTTAGCTAGCATAGAGTTAGATAGTTCGTGATTAACAAATTGATTCGAAGCCAAAATGACAGCAGTACCTCATTATATCTTCACCTACCTACCTTCCAGGCTGCAAATCAAAAGTCCAAGTCGAAAGCACAAACACTGCTATAAAACAATTCGTAAAGACACAAAACCTCCAAACAAGGATCATTGTTATCTTGACAAAGTTAACGAGAGTTTTTTTTTTCAAGTTAAGGAATCTGTAAGCAATGTGTTGCTAAYGTCGGCGAGTGGAAAGCTTTTGGCATCGATCGGAAACTCATTTAGGACAATACGCACATGGTTTACTATTTCAAATRGATTGACTGGTCTTGAGCGGTTGGGATAGAATTACAAAGGTCACTGTACAAGCTTATTTTAGAATGTTTTCGATAAACAAAAGGGGAGCGTAAGTGCAGCAGCGAGGTACTGAAACGACTTTAGTGCTGGTAGGCATATGTTCAGCTTCTACTGTAGGTTGGCCTTGTTTCGAGTTCGAGTCTGTTTTGAGCCTGTCATAGCATAAAAAATAAATAGTAGAAATTTCTGTCAAAGAATATTTTTCTTGCATATTTTTTTATAGTAGGAAAACTCGGTACTTAGGCAAGAACTTCTTGCCGAACTGGCCAATTCCTTTTTTGATTTCTGGGCTTCAGTTTGACACAGCTACGCCCTAAGTTCAGTTGCAGGGTTACGTAATTTTTCTCACTGCGTAAATTCCATGAAAAATCGCGCTATGAATGTCGGGATAGAAAGGGTACTCTCACAAGCGCGTTCAATCACTCGTGATTCGAGCACAGTACTTTCCCTCAGTTTATATATTTTTTCCTCCAAATATTATATTGAATATTAATTGTCCCATGACGAGACTGACTGAACAGAAATGGTCCTTGATGTGTAACTTATGGTTAAYATTCTGCTCTACCGTGGGTCCAAACTTCTTTTTCAGATTTCCCGAACTCAGGAAAAGGCCTACGGCTTTTACAGTTGTTCCCCTACTCTCCTCCCCTGCTCTGGGCCTCTCACTGGCTACTGCTGCGGTATCGTCTCTTCGAAAAAACGATTGCCGCATGGACACAGTAAGCATCTGGGTTATTCATGATTGCTAGAAGGGAATTACAAATTGGTGTGAGCAACATGCTTAGCGACTAAATCACTTTGGGCGTAATGTTTCCCCCCATTTCAGACCACGTGTCATTCCCTTGAGTATTATTTCTTTTATTTAAGGTTGTACATGAGAAGACACATGAATATGGGTCTTATACATATATTTATAGATTTATATATAAATCTTATTTTGAGCGAATKACAAGTGAGCTGAAATGGCAAAACATTCCGCCAAAGTCGTCTTGGTCCATTGCATGACTTTACTTAACATAACCTATATCCATCCGTCATCCAGCTTATACAGACTGATTCGGCGGTAAATGAGGCTAAAGGAGTGGGCGGATACAGTCAAGGGGCACAAGGCTCAATAGGGCAAACGAAGTATTGACAAGAGATAGGTGCAAGTTGCCATATGTCTGTAAGTGAAGATCAGTATTTTCATTACAAACATATGCAAGTTGTCTTTCATAGATGGAGCCTTCGAGGTTTGGTATTCCTCAGCACGCAATAAAGCCATCCATCCGACGGGGCAGCGATAGAGACCTCAGGGATGGTCGGACCATAAGATAAATGAGGGGAGGGGGGGCTTGCAGAAGTGTTGCAAAATATTTTTTGTAACAACCGCGGCATGCAATTTTTTGTTTGCTTGATATTTCTTCACTAAAAGAAGAAGTTGGGCGATATTTTATCGTAGGCGAAAGTGCTTGCTTGATCTTTTTTKGGGGGATTTACGCAACCATCCTTCCCCGTCAATTATCTAATGGTCCGTTCCTTTATGAACCGAGTATCATACAAGGCCTTGCTTAACAATGGAATGGAATCATTAGTAAACAGTCAAAGTTAAAACGAATTGTCCTAGGAATAATATTTTCACGCGTTTCCAACTTATTTCCTTCAAACCTCACAGTTTTACTGTTAGCATGCTTTTTCCAGCTATGGTTGTTACTGTTGTGTTTTACTGATTTGAAAAATACCCGAAACAAGCTCCGTATTGGCTGCAAGAGGCGTATTAAGTCTAACAGGAAGCTATTAATTAAAGATATTAACATTTTCTAGGTGGAATGTGAGGAATTTCTGTGTTTTCCAAGATATATAAAAATAGATGCTACGCATGACATGATAACTAAAATGTCTGGATTTCTTGATGACAGTCGCATGWCAGCAGGGTTTGGTTTGCTTCCAGAGGAGGATCCAGGGCTATCCCAAGTGCCGTTTCGAGCTTATTGTCTTTTTCTTCTTTGGTTTCAACCGGTTTATATGCATCTTTTTCTAATGATACTTCTGCTACTAAGTGATACTAATACTAAGGTCTTGCGTTGGCATTTGATATACATATAGGCATGTTCAACTAACTTGTCAAATAAACTATAGGATCTGTACTGAACCTGAAAGTACTCCAAAGTACTCCAGTGTTTTGATGAGCATCTCTAAATTTCTTGAAGAATTTAGAAAAAAGATTTCGCTAAGGTGCCATACACTCTACTCTATAAGTAAATTATTAATTTTTTTCGAAGCAAGAGAGCATAAAAATAATTGTGCTCTCTTGTTCCGAAGATATTAATTTTCGGCTGGTTTGCTTTAGTCGCCACGTCCTTTGATCCTCCAACTCCCACCCTCCGGGGAGGTCCACATATCCCGACCTTGGTTGTCGCTGCTCGATCATGAAACCATAAGAAATACAGGGGCAGTTGGGAGTATATAGCCAGGTTATCTTGCCGATTGAACATATATTGTTTTAATGAACGCACAATAAATAAATACAATCTATTACGAATCCACGTGTGAGTCTCAGCCCCATTTACTTCCTCCCAATCTCGTACCCAGAGCTTTTAGTTCTTACTTTCGAGCATGCGCAGTAAGAAATAAAGGCTCTGTCTGGGATTGATTGACTTCGCCCTCGATAGAAAATGCGAAGTAACGAAATCACATGCGCTAAACAGCTCAATGTGAAAATAACACCATTGGTAAGAATTCTTAGGAATCGCATTAAATAAAAACTCCATCAAAATTGTATTCCATCGATAATTATACTATATTAAACGTGAGAATATTGCATGGCCGCGCGGAGATACGGATTTTATCTTCTCGTGTTGATAATATCTCTCACTCGTTCGCTGCGCTCACAAGTAAGACCTCAACACTCGAAGGTAAAATCCGTATCTCCGCGCGGCCACGTAATATCCTCTATATCTTTATACCAATGGGTTGTTAAGTTTTGGAGCTTTTTGCTTTCGTTGTTGCTGGTTGTTGTTTCGTTATTCGTTTGGTTTTTCGTTTAGTCTTATTTAGTAGTTTTGAGTGCTAATATTGTGGCTGGCTCGTTGTTGTTGTTATTGTTGTTGTTACTTTTACTACTACTGTCGTTGTATTGCTGTTTTGTTGTTGGCAGTAGGGCTGTTGTTTGTTGCTGTTGTTGCTGTTGTGTTGTTGATGGTTATGCTACTGCTTTTGCTACTGTCGTTGCTGCTGTTCTTCTTGCTTTCATCATTGTCGTCGTCGTTCTTTTTCTCTTCTTACTCTTTTGTTCCAGCTGCTTTAGGGAATATTCCTTTCACGCTATTGATTTTCATCTTGTCGCTGCTTGGTTTGGTAATTTTGAAATTTCGCTTGTTGGTATTTGCCCAAGTACTTATTCATATTTTTCCAATTCTTCTTTCGTCTTTGCTCTTCTCCTAAGCAAACTGCTATATTTCGATTGTTTTCTTTGGCTTCCTTTTTTCAACAATCCCTTTTGTTTTTGGTGCCTTTGTGTCTTGTATGTCTTGTCGATATGTCAATAGATAAGTCCATTATTTTCCTTAATTAACTTGCTTTCCAAGCCGTGTCCCTCATTTCCTGTATGCTACGACATTCTTTAGCCTTCAGTATTAACCAGATAAACCCAATCACAATACACATGATAGATTCTATGTAGTAGCCATCGATGGACGTGACACATTTGCCTCCAGCTTTGGTACATGCCTGCTCAAAACAAAAACATTATCGTGGAAGTGTGAATCAAGGTGGCAAGAAAAGATAAGACTGTACAGTACAGGTCGTCGTAGGGAATTCTTCCTTGACCTTAAGGAAGGGCTTTGATTCTTGTATGAATGGCAAAAGAAAGAGATAAAGGAAGGAAGCAAGCAAGCAAGCAAGGAAGGAAGCAAGCAAGCAAGGAAGGAAGCAAG